AATAATCTCTAAAAACTCACCTTTAAAAAAAGGTAAAAAGGCGACCAGTTAAGGGCACGCCATTAACAAAATTATCCATTGCAAACCCATGTAGAATCCTATCCTATTGCAAACCCATGTAGAATCCTATGAAAAATTAATCATTGCAAACCCATGTAGAATCCTAGGCAAAATTAACCATTGCAAACCCATGTAGAATCGTACCCATTGCAAACCTATGTAGAATCCTATGAAAAATTAACCATTGCAAACTCATGTAGAATCCTATGAAAAATTAACCATTGCAAACCATGTAGAATTGTATTAAAAATTATCCATTGCAAACTTATGTAGAATCCTACATTGCAAACCCATGTACAATAGAATTGTATGAAAAATTATCGATTATAAACCCATGTACAATCGTAACAAAAGTAATGAAATAAAAAAAAAATTGCGCCAAGTGAAAGTAGAAACTTGTACCAGTGGAAAATTAAAGTTGCAGACATATATAGAGTCGTATAATGAATCAGTAAAATTTAAATTTGCAAATGTAGAATCGTACCATAAAAAACTTATCTTTAAAAAAAAAGATAAACAAGATGCCAAGTCCATGCGCCATGTGAAAAAGAAATAAAAAATTTTAGTTAAAAAAACTGGGCGCGCTGCTAAGTTTCAAAATTACAATGCACCTTAAAGTAACATTAATTAATTTAAACACAAAACATATTTTAACTGTAATGAGTTTAAAAGTAACAATTTAATTTTAATATTGTTAGAATATTATTTAGCAGCGCTCCCAGTTTTTTTAACTAAATTTTTTTATTTCTTTCACATGGCGCATGGACTTGGCATCTTGTTTATCTTTTTTTTAAAAGATAAGTTTTTTTATGGTACGATTCTACATTTGCAAATTTAAATTTTTACTGATTCATTATACGACTCTATATATGTCTGCAACTTTAATTTTCCACTGGTACAAGTTTCTACTTTCACTTGGCGCAATTTTTTTTTTATTTCATTACTTTTGTTACGATTGTACATGGGTTTATAATCGATAATTTTTCATACAATTCTATTGTACATGGGTTTGCAATGTAGGATTCTACATAAGTTTGCAATGGATAATTTTTAATACAATTCTACATGGGTTTGCAATGGTTAATTTTTCATAGGATTCTACATGAGTTTGCAATGGTTATTTTTCATAGGATTCTACATAGGTTTGCAATGGGTACGATTCTACATGGGTTTGCAATGGTTAATTTTGCCTAGGATTCTACATGGTTTGCAATGATTAATTTTTCATAGGATTCTACATGGGTTTGCAATAGGATAGGATTCTACATGGGTTTGCAATGGATAATTTTTGTTAATGGCGTGCCCTTAACTGGTCGCCTTTTTTTACCTTTTTTTAAAGGTGAGTTTTTAGAGATTATATCATTCATTTTTGTATATTTTTATGACCGGAATAGAACAATTATTAAACATGTTTATCTAAACTTCTTTGCTTAAAATGATGTGTACAATCATATCCTAGAATCCTGATCATTCCTCCTAAAGCACCCTATTTATATAAATTTACCCATATGTGTGTGTGTGTGTGTGTGTGTGTGTACTAATGTCGAGCATTTTTATACATTTTCTATTAAATTTAGATAAAAGTTGCAGGATTTCGAAAAAGAAAAAGTTGACACAGACTTTTTCCTAAACGGCGATTTTCAAGGTTATTTAAAGGTCACTTATATTTTCAAAATAGAATTACCTTAATTTTTCTCATATAAATCGATTCCTCGCAATATTTACTATAAAAAGTTGTAAAGGTATAATTTTTACATAATCTTACATAAACTTCGAAATATTACAAATATTTTATTTTATGAAATATTTCAGTTTATGTAAAATTATGTTAACTATCTTTTAAATTATTCACTTTTAGCCATCTTACCCTTACAACCTTTTATAGTGAATATTGCAACAAATTGGTTTATATATAATATATATATAACATCAGTTATTATTAATTGATGTTTACATTTATTTTTAGACTTACTAGAGCTCAAATGCTCCACATTTTTTGCAAAAACTGTTTATTCTACAGATTTCAAATATGCTTTTAAATGATGATTGAATATTTCCTTTTTTTAATTATTTTTATTATTATTTTTCAATCTCAATCAACTTTTATAACTTTATGCCAGCACGATACAAATACATGTGTCTTTATTTTTTTTTTTATTTTCATTATTATTTTTCAATCTCAATCAACTTCTATAACCTTATGCCAGCAGGATACAAATACATGTATGTCTTTATTATTGTATCAACTCTTGTCTTTTCCATGTAACCATGTCTTCATAGTTTGAATTATCCCTTCATCTTCTCAATCTTTCGCAGAGATTTAATTAATTAAATACACTTCACACGAAATAAAGTTTGCTGGAAGATATACAGCAAACGATAACTGTAAAAACATGATTACGTGGAAAGAACAAGAGTTGGTACAGTAAAGGCAAGTAAGTAAGTACATGTAATGTATCGTATTGGCATAACGCTATATCCGCGGAGCAGATAATGTGGCTGTAGAGGTAGTCTGCAGTGCAGCTAATGTGGACGTAGATGTTGATTGAGATAATTGTCTAATATAAAATAGAATTTAAAATTTAGTTTAAAAAGCTGTTGCATATATAAATAAAGTTTATTTTTTCTAAATTTGGAATATGTTTAATTAATTAATTTTTTAAGTCTATGTTTAATAAATTTTTTAAGTCTGTATTCAATAATTTTATTCATTTGATAAATACATGTATGTCTTTATTTTGATATGTTTAATATAATTAGAAATTCATTATTAATTAGATATGTAAACTATAAATTCATATATAATATTT